GATAGAGCTCTCAACTCTTCCACATTTTACCTATTTAGAGTCAAAAACGGCAAAGCCAACACGAAGTGGAAGGAAAACCACAAAGTAGATGTAAAAGTCTGCATTTTCATTCAGACATCTTTCTTCTGATAGCCTTAAGTTAAAATTCCAGTGCATCTAATTGGCTTTGTTAGTAAATAGTTTTTGTTGTCCGTAATTTCATCGCTCTGTAAATCTGTCTGTTCTCTGAAGGCCTCAGATGTCGAAGTAGAAGTGAAGAAATGGAAGAATATGAGACAGGCAGAATACTTCGCCACCTAAAAAGAGAATCGCATGTGGGTTTTTAGAGCGTCGTCCACTATGGTTCTCAATAACTTAGTAGTTTTTTTTTTTTGTCTTGGTTACAAAGGATGTGCTTTTTAAAAAAAATAAATTTATGTTCCACGTTCCATTGAAAAATTGTGTTTATTCCTTTTGTATAAATAAAGTTTGACAACTTTAATTTTTTTCTTTGTTTTAATACAGAAAAGCAAATATAAAAGTGCCTTTCTTTCATTTTAAAATCAAACCTTTTCAATAAGCTAAGCTAACTAAGCTCTTTTTTTCATGTAGCTTTTGTGACATTTTGCCTTTATGAAAAAGTGCAGAAGAAGCCAAAGTTTAGGAAAAAATAATCAAAGAGAAGGGAAGTAGGTCAGATTTGATGGGAATATGAATGGAGCTAAACACAGGGCGAGCCTGGAAGAACGCCTGGTAAACGCAACAAAAGACTTAAGATTGGGCTGGAAGTTCATGTTCCAATAAGATAGCCCGTAATGTATGGCAAGAACTCCAAACAAAGTGTTTAAATCAGAGGGATGAAAACAAAAAACAGGTTACGATTTGTGAAAATTTTAAAAAACCATGCATCACTTTTCTGTCACTTTATGTATTTATTTTGCTGAAATGTCAAGTAGAGTCGCTTCTGACGAAACCTCAAAAACATGAACAGGGTCTTTCATAATTTGGCACCTTTGTTATTTTTGTATCTGCTTCTTCCGAGTCCGATTCTTCAAACAGCATCTGCTCACTGTCACTATCAATACGTCTTCACTAACACTTCCGCGCTTGTTCTCTCTCTTTCTCTCCCTCGTTTTCTCTCATGTTAGTTCTTCCTCGTCTTCCTCTAATGACCTGTCTGCCTCTTCTCATCACGTCTCTGTGCGGTCAGCGCTGACTGTTGTTTTAGTTCCTTAATCTCCGCACACACTCATCCACACACACTTGGACGACCTCCTCGCACCCCACAGATCTGCTCTCGGGATCTTCTGAGCAGGAAGTAATTTGTTGCATGACTCACAAGCAGAGGTGGATAGAGTAGCAGAAATTGTACTCAAGTAAGTGCAGCACTTCTTCAGTATGTTTCAAGTGGAGTATAAGTAAAAGTTCCAAGAAATTACTCAATTGAGAGTGAAAAGGCATGTGGCAAAAAGTCTACTCAAGTACTGAGTAAACAGTAAATATCAAATTTAATATTTAAAAATTGCATTATCAGAACAACCAAAATATAAAGTTACGAAGACACTTAGATATTTTAACTCTGTAAGACCTACCTATAGTAATACAACAAAATCTCTCAAACAGACAAGCAAAAAAAAAAAAAAAAAAAAAAATTAAAAAATTAAACCTCAAAGGAAAATAGGAAAAAGAAACAATTAACAACC